AAAAAAAAAAAAAAATTTATAATCCCTTTCAAGAGCCCCAAAACCCAACCGCCCCCCCCCCCCCCAACTGTTTTAAATACAAAAAAGGAGGCTAGTAGCCAGGAGATGAGGTAACATCTCCCAAATAAACACAAGTGATGACATCCCACATTGCAACAGTACACCTTTGCAACAGTATACCTTCGTCTCTCTTCTATAGTATAACTTTGTCTTCTACAGTATACCTTTGTCTCCTACAGTATACCTTTATCTCTCTTCTACAGTATACTTTGTCTCTCTTTTATATAATATCTTTGTCTATCTTCTATAGTATACCTTTGTCTCCTATAATATACCTTTATCTCTCTTCTTTAGTATACCTTTGTCTCTCTTCTATAGTATACCTTTGTCTGTCTTCTATCTCTTGTCTTGTCCTCATGACTGTGCCAGGTTCCAGTGGAATCTCTTCCTTCTCATACAGTGTCATGTGACTGGACTCAGGGTCTGCCAATGTGCACAACTCCATGCAGCTGTGAGACTGGGACAGCCCGATGCTCTGCTGAGGGTCAGACACTTTGTCAAGGAGGTTACGGTCGTCTACCAGCTCTGTTGAAGGCCCTGTGCCATGAAAAAAAAAAGTTTGAGGAGATCAAATGGTGTTCTTTGCCAACTCAACTTCAAACTCTAAATAAGACAAGCTAAAAATTAGGCACACATTGCTCCACATCACTAAATTAACGTATAAATACAATAAATATTAGTCTAACAATCATCTCCACTGAGTCAGGGATTGAGAAAGGTTTCCTCTTTAAATATACTTTTCTGTTTTTCCACAAAGCTCGAGAGATTCAATAAAAAAAACATACATTTAGATATGGACTTGATTAGTCTTGATGTGGGTATTTGAGTAATTTGTCAAATTTTTCCCGAAATAAAATTGTTAACATAAGCAATTTGTGTCTAAAATTAATTTTTTTTTTTAAACCTATTAGAACTTGCTCAAGAAGCTTATGAATGGGGTCTCAAGTACTGACAAAAACCTGGCCATGTAAGCCTACTATGGGGACATGGAGCTACAGCCCCTATGGGACAATCAACTTATCTTGTCTACATTATCAATCCCCCATGGGACAATCAACTTATCTTGTCTACATCATCAATCCCCCATGGGACAATCAATTTATCTTGTCTACATCATCAATCCCCCATGGGACAATCAACTTATCTTGTCTACATCATCAATCCCCCATGGGACAATCAACTTATCTTGTCTACATCATCAATCCCCCATGGGACAATCAACTTATCTTGTCTACATCATCAATCCCCCATGGGACAATCAACTTATCTTGTCTACATCATCAATCCCCCATGGGACAATCAACTTATCTTGTCTACATCATCAATCCCCCATGGGACAATCAACTTATCTTGTCTACATCATCAATCCCCCATGGGACAATCAACTTATCTTGTCTACATCATCAATCCCCCATGGGACAATCAACTTATCTTGTCTACATCATCAATCCCCCATGGGACAATCAACTTATCTTGTCTACATCATCAATCCCCCATGGGACAATCAACTTATCTTGTCTACATCATCAATCCCCCATGGGACAATCAACTTATCTTGTCTACATCATCAATCCCCCATGGGACAATCAACTTATCTTGTCTACATCATCAATCCCCCATGGGACAATCAACTTATCTTGTCTACATCATCAATCCCCCATGGGACAATCAACTTATCTTGTCTACATCATCAATCCCCCATGGGACAATCAACTTATCTTGTCTACATCATCAATCCCCCATGGGACAATCAACTTATCTTGTCTACATCATCAATCCCCCATGGGACAATCAACTTATCTTGTCTACATCATCAATCCCCCATGGGACAATCAACTTATCTTGTCTACATCATCAATCCCCCATGGGACAATCAACTTATCTTGTCTACATCATCAATCCCCCATGGGACAATCAACTTATCTTGTCTACATCATCAATCCCCCATGGGACAATCAACTTATCTTGTCTACATCATCAATCCCCCATGGGACAATCAACTTATCTTGTCTACATCATCAATCCCCCATGGGACAATCAACTTATCTTGTCTACATCATCAATCCCCCATGGGACAATCAACTTATCTTGTCTACATCATCAATCCCCCATGGGACAATCAACTTATCTTGTCTACATCATCAATCCCCCATGGGACAATCAACTTATCTTGTCTACATCATCAATCCCCCATGGGACAATCAACTTATCTTGTCTACATCATCAATCCCCCATGGGACAATCAACTTATCTTGTCTACATCATCAATCACCCATGGGACAATCAACTTATCTTGTCTACATCATCAATCACCCATGGGACAATCAACTTATCTTGTCTACATCATCAATCCCCCATGGGACAATCAACTTATCTTGTCTACATCATCAATCCCCCATGGGACAATCAACTTATCTTGTCTACATCATCAATCACCCATGGGACAATCAACTTATCTTGTCTACATCATCAATCACCCATGGGACAATCAACTTATCTTGTCTACATCATCAATCACCCATGGGACAATCAACTTATCTTGTCTACATCATCAATCCCCCATGGGACAATCAATTTATCTTGTTTACATTATCAATCCCCCATGGGACAATCAATTTATCTTGTCTACATCATCAATCCCCCATGGGACAATCAACTTATCTTGTCTACATCATCAATCCCCCATGGGACAATCAACTTATCTTGTCTACATCATCAATACCCCATGGGACAATCAATTTATCTTGTCTACATCATCAATCCCCCATGGGACAATCAACTTATCTTGTCTACATCATCAATCCCCCATGGGACAATCAATTTATCTTGTCTACATCATCAATCCCCCATGGGACAATCAACTTATCTTGTCTACATCATCAATCCCCCATGGGACAATCAACTTATCTTGTCTACATCATCAATCCCCCATGGGACAATCAATTTATCTTGTCTACATCATCAATCCCCCATGGGACAATCAACTTATCTTGTCTACATCATCAATCCCCCATGGGACAATCAATTTATCTTGTTTACATTATCAATCCCCCATGGGACAATCAATTTATCTTGTCTACATCATCAATCCCCCATGGGACAATCAACTTATCTTGTCTACATCATCAATCCCCCATGGGACAATCAACTTATCTTGTCTACATCATCAATCCCCCATGGGACAATCAACTTATCTTGTCTATATCATCAATCCCCCATACGACAATCAACTTATCTAGTCTACATTATCAATCCCCCATGGGACAATCAATTTATCTAGTCTACATTATCAATCCCCCATGGGACAATCAATTTATCTAGTCTACATCATCAATCCCTATGGGACAATCAACTTATCTAGTCTACATCATCAATCCCCCATGGGACAATCAATTTATCTTGTCTACATCATCAATCCCCCATGGGACAATCAATTTATCTAGTCTACATCATCAATCCCTATGGGACAATCAACTTATCTTGTCTACATCATCAATCCCTATGGGACAATCAACTTATCTTGTCTACAACATCAATCACCCATGGGACAATCAATTTATCTTGTCTACATCATCAATCCCCCATGGGACAATCAATTTATCTTGTTTACATTATCAATCCCCCATGGGACAATCAATTTATCTAGTCTACATCATCAATCCCTATGGGACAATCAACTTATCTTGTCTACATCATCAATCCCTATGGGACAATCAACTTATCTTGTCTACAACATCAATCACCCATGGGACAATCACATTATCTTGTCTACATCATCAATCCCCCATACGACATTCAACTTATCTTGTTTACATTATCAATCCCCCATGGGAAAATGAATTTATCTTGTCTACATTATCAATCCCCCATGGGACAATCAATTTATCTTGTCTACATCATCAATCCCCCATGGGACAATCAACTTATCTTGTCTACATCATCAATCCCCCATGGGACAATCAACTTATCTTGTCTACA